AAGGAAGACAAAATTGTTAGTGTCTAACATAGAAATGTATTCATTATTTAAGAGACATATGTGAGGTTGACATGTAATAGAGATTCACTACATGGGAGTTATCTTAATGCCTGTAAGTCATTGATACAAATGTTTAAGGTGCTGAAGTGACTGCGGACCCTCTTGGCATGACAATAAAGCTCTCCCTCAGGTTACAGAATTCTGTTCATCTCTTTGAACTACACATTTTGTAGTTGTCCCACAGTTCTTAGCTATTATGTGGTTTCTCAGTCTAATTTCTCATCGCTTTCCAGTTTTAGCATTCTCTATTGAGATCTCCTCAAGCTCAGAGATTCTTTCCTGAGCTATGTCCATTCTACCAGTAAGCCCATTAAAGGCAATCTTCCTTTCTGTTACGGTGCTTTTTATCTCCGGTATTTCAATTCTTTCTTTAAATTTCTATCTCTGCTTACATTGCCCATCTGCTCTTGTATGTTGTCTATTTCATCCATTAGAGCCTTTAGTATATTAATCATAGTTGTTTTAAATTCCTAGTCTGATCATTGCAACTTCCCTGCCATTTCTGAATCCAGTTCTGGTGCTTGCTCTGTCCTCCAAACCATTTTTTGCCTTTTAGTGTGCCTCGTAAACTTTTCTTGATAGATGGACTTGTACTGGGAAAAAGGAACCGCTGAAAATAGGCCTTGAGTGCTGTGGTGGTAAGGTGCGGGAGGAGAGGAAGTGTTCTCTGGTCCTCTGATTAGGCTGTTAGTGAGCCTATGCCCCTGGACTGTGAACTTCACAAGGGCTTCCCAGCCCTCTCCCTTAGATGGAAAAAGAAGGGTAGAATTAGCTGGATTGGGGTATTTCTCTTCCCCCAGGTTGGTTAGGCTCTGATGATACCCCAACAGGTTACGTTCTGGTTAAAGAGCATCTCCTGAGAGCAGACCTTGTTAAGAACAGAATGCTCTGGTATATTTCAAATGGCTTCAGCTCTCCCCCTGCCAGAAACAGGAGATTTTTTGCCAGTATTCACTGTGAGAACCTCCTAAAGCTCCTGTAGGTAAAACTCACAGAAGTGTCTGTAAGGTGGAACTCCCCTCTGACTGAGTCCCCCTGGGTTGTTTTTTGTTTGTTTGTTTGTTTGTTTAATCTTTCAGACTTGACTGAGACTTCAGTTGGTCTTTAGGCAGACTGAGTCGCCCAGTTCTGATTCGTGAACAGGGTCCAGCAGCAAATGAACACCTCCTTGGAGCAATTCACAGAACTGCTTTCTATTGATTTGATTAAGATATTTGATGAAAACGAGCTGGAGTTGCTGATGTGCAACCTTGGCAGTGTGGGCATGAATGACTGGGGACAACATTCTATTTATGGGATAGGCTACTGCCCAACCCTCCTGACATTCCGTGGTTCTGGAAGGCTATGCTGATGATGCTTGCTGAGAAGTGTCTCTGGTTACCACAGTGTGTCACAGAGACATCCCAAGTACCTGTCTATGAATTTGCCTAACCCTTTTATCCCAGTGGTTTTCAGTGGTTCACAATAGAGCAATACTGGAGTTCTGAAAAACTTCCCAGAGTTCACACATGCTTTAACTGCCTTGACTTAGCTCCATATGAAAACTTTGAAGATTTATGAGAAGAATTTCTCACGGCTGTGGAAAATGCACAAAGATTTGAAGAGGTCAATAGTACTCCCTGCCTCGGGGTGCTTGTTTATGGAGTGAGTCCTGCTTGTACTTTTGAGCTTGCCTAATAGACTTGGCAGAGACAATGGCAGAACCATTGCAAGTGTGGCTCCAAGAGCAGAGTCTTCCCCCATGCACTTACCCAAGTTCAGATGTGGGAAGCCAGTCATAGGTCATGTCCCTGCATTTTCTACTACAAATTATCAGCTGGATGATGACTACACTGATTATATTTTAGGAGGACTTTGCCTATTTGTGTTGTACTTTTGTTGGCAAAGCCAATAAGTATTTCAGTAGCTTTAAAAAAAAAAAAAAACACCTCTCAGTGACTCCACAACTGTCAGACACTTTAGACTCTTATCAATTGGTCAATTATAGTTCAGGATTCTTTACCCCAGCACTGGATTGTGTAGAGGTTTTAGCTCATGGGGTTTTGTTCTATTAAGTTGTAATTCTCTGCATTGGCTTGTCTGTCTTTTCAATCTAGGGGCAGCATTTTGCTGTGTGACCTCACATCTCTTACTGATCCAAGAAGAATTGTTGATTTTTCAGTTTACTCAGCATTTTACTTGTTAGGATGGAATGGTAACTGCCAAGCTCATTACATGCCAGACCCACCCACTTCTTTTTTCCTTTAATAACATCATATGTTTATTCTGTCTATGTCAGTATATGTCCTATAATCTAAGCATTTGTTCTGATGAATATTTAGATCCTCCACCATCTCTTTTTTTGGCTACTCAAAATGTTTTAAGCACAAACGAATGCAATTTCTGCTCGTTTAAAAATGTGATTATAATTTCTATCAGTTATTTTGTTCCTCTTATTTGCAATAGACATGGGGGGATTATATTTTATCTATAGAAAATAATTCCACTCACACCATACCACTCATTAAGTCCTCTCTTTGGTCTCAACGAACATTTCCAAGCACAGCCAATTTGCTTTCACAACTACTTGCTGGACAAGCGCGGTCAGCAGATCCTCCACCTGCTAGAAAGATAGAGGATTGGTGTGGTTGTCAAGGAATAACTCAGACATTTAGTTAAACGTTTGTGTGCTAGTTTTTTCTTGCTTGAGGAAGATCATCATTACACTATTGGCAACAAACAAAGGCAAAAGCCAGGACTTATAAAAAGGAGACAGGAAGGGAGGAAAACACACAGTCTGGAGAGAGTGAAGGTTTATTCCCGATTAAGCTAATTCCCTGGAGGGCATCACACAGGCCAGTATGGAAAGTCTGGTGTGGAGCAGGCCAGCTGGGTTACCAGGGAAAACAATTTCAGATTTTTATGACTTTTCTGAAAAGCCTTTGTTGGAATTTGGCCATGGGGCATGTGTGACCAGTCATCCAATATCTGCCCGTGTACCATTAGTATCACTGCTTTAGGTCAGCCAGGTGTGTACTATTTGTTTCTCTCACCAGAATTTCTCATTTCCCCGCTTTGGTCAAAGTGGCTTCCCAAAGAATGGATTCAACCGTGAGGATTTCTTTCTTTCTTTCTTTCTTTTTTTTTTGGAGACAATATCAGTTGGATGTCAGCTGGGGATCATGGACATACAACATGTAAGCATTCTGATGTTCAACAGTGGAAGCACGTAACAGGTGTGAGGATGATCACAAATCCCTAAGAAACATCTCACATAAAAACCATGTTTTTATCCAGGTTTTATTCATGCTTTTATACATTTATGTGGTAAGTATGATGATGCCATCTGATTACATAAGAATAGTTTAGAATGTGCACATTGAGTAACTGGAAAATGTTGTTTTTGGTAAACAGTAGCCAGTATCCATCCAAATATATCTGGACACCCTAAGGCCTAACTCGATTTTAACACTGTTACAGGCACATAGAAAAGTGTGGGAGTTCATCTTATGTTTATCTTCTCATGAGAAGAGAACTGAGTGAATGTCCTAATAAAAGTTATACATCTTTCAGATGTTAATAATTCACAATATATCCACTGGTACTAGTGAGTAAATGTTACTATCATTCGTGAGTTTAAGTTTAACTATACCTTTGGTATAGTTAACTTTAGGCCAGGCATTAAAGTACACATGAAATATATATGTATATATGTATACATTAAAGTGTACATTATGCTCTTGTTAATTACTCTCTGTAGGTATAGTCTATCTATAACCATAGGACAAAGAAGTGTTTTTATGTGTTAGTGACCAAAATGGTTTCACATGATCCCCCAAATGATGGCATTTGCACTTTAATATGTTGGCAAGCATGTGTATGGCTGCCGTTAATTTAGGGTGACCTGATTTTAAAAGAGTATTTGCTTTACTAGAGGAGGGAGTAAAGGGGAGTTGTCTAATGGGTATTAGAGTTTCAGTTGGGCAAGATGAACAAGTTCTGGAGATTGGCTGCACAACAATGTGAATATACTTAACACTACTGAACTGTATACTTTTAGGAATGGTAAAATTTATGTCATGTATTTTTTACCACAATACCAATAATTGCTTTAAAATATTATTACATAATACCTAATAATTATGGAAAAATCAGAAAATATAGACAAGCAAAAACGAAATCCACCTACAATCTTAACAGCTAAGGCTAACACTTCGTCGCATTAAATAAATAAATAAATAAATAAGTGTGTGTGTGTGTGTGTGTGTGTGTGTGTGTGTGTATCACACTATATATGCTATTTTAGAACTTGACTTTTTGAAATAAAATCTATACTACTTTTAAGTATATTTTATGTTCTATGGTCTTTTTTAAAAGATTGATTTATTCTAGAGAGAGAGCATGAGCAAGAAGGGCAGAGGGAAAGAGAGAGAGTGAGAATCTCAAGGAGACTCCACGCTGAACATGGAAGCCTACAAGGGGCTCAATCCCTTGACCCTGAGATCACGACCTGAGCCAAAACCAAAAGTCAGGTGCTTATTCTGACCTCACAAGACTGCACCACCCGGGCACCCCTTAAATTCTATGGTCTTAATTTAAAATCCAAAGGAGTAGGATATTTCACATTCCTATAAATTCTAAGGCCTTAAAATGGATGTGAACCTGCATGTTTAAGGGTACTTGCCCCTCCAATGATGCTTCTCTTTTTAGGTCAAGAGAAGGAATGGGCTCCTCCACTCGCGAATTGTCCGCCAGCTCTGCTGACATTTTTCAGTGTTTCCTTTTATGACCATACCATACAGAGGCTTCTGGTACTTGGGAAATGATGAGTCTACCTACCCCTGGGGCTCCTCATTCCTGAGTCATGTGTCTCTCTACTGGGATATTGTAAATAAACATCTGAGTCAGGTTAATGAGTAAACTGTTAAGATGAAAGGTCAGGAGACCTGGTTTTATTAGGAACATCAGAACATCAGAATGGGAGATAATGCATTGCTGCTTGCAGTCCAGTTTCTCTGAGGAAAAGAGTAAATAAAAAACAAGAGTCACAGGAGAGTCTTCATTCCACAAGAGCTCCAGGAACCATGCTGGAGAAGTTCTGCAACTCTACATTTTGGGTGAGGAATCATACTTATTTTCACTGTTGACTCTTCTCAGACTCAGAACTAGTAGATTAACCTCAGTTGCTACCATAAGAACTAAAAAAGTTAGATGTACAGGTGGTCTAAAGCTCAGGGTTTTTTGGTTTGGGTTTGTTGTTGTTGTTGTTATTTAGGTTTTGGTTTGGGGGGGGCTTAAGAAAAGATATGTCATAATATCTCCAGAGGATATTCTGTGTGGAAGAGGTAATGGATGTATTCTCTACCATATATTTATTGTATCCCAGACTCTCTTCTCAGACTAGCTAGCCATAAAATTGTGTTCTCTGAAGAGAAATGGGGGAAAGGCTTCCAATTTCAACAATGTTAGGAGGGAAAGTTGTTGTTGCAGAGTTTGTGGGGTGGGAGGAAGAAGAGAAGACCCAAGGTTGAGTCTTGCTGATGTTGAAATGAATATCCTCTGGAGACAGTTCTAGAGGGACTGGCAGTTAGTGGTATGGAGTGGAAGTTGAGGCCAGGGATACGGATTTGGGCATCATGAGCACTGAGACAATTTTTGAACCATTAGAGGAGAGAATTTCAAGTCAGGGTGAGCAACAGTACCAAATGGCTTAGTGGAATTGAAAATGAAAAAGAACCTGGATTTAGTGATTCTATGTAAGTGTGGTCTGCAAATGCCTAGCATCAGAACCACATGGAGGGCTTATCAAAATAGTTAAAATATCTTAGGGAATTTTTCTGAATTCTAAAGTCAAGTAACTTTATGGAGTGATAAGAAGAGTGGGAATGAGATAGCAGAGCAGTTGGTTAACACTTCACATCCTAGAAAGAACCTGGGCCCCAAGGGCCTCAAGGCTGGGACGTGTTTACCACAGGTAGGTGGGGCTTAATGGGGCCAGGATCTTACCAGGCCATCTATGGGGAATTCTCTCTGGGAATATCTGACAGATCATGTTGGTCAGGGCGCCACAATGTTTGTTTTAAAGAGTCTGTGTGAACAACTATACAAAAATAACTAAAAAATGTTTATGAGGAGAGAAAAATCTACCCTCACAAGACTCAAGAAATAACTGGTGCTCCCCACCCTCACTTCACAAGACACTTCTATCCATTGCAGAATGTAAAGACTAGTATAGACTTGCTGGGGACAAGCCTTCCTTCTACTGTCTACAGCTCCTAGGCCCAAGGTCCCCTAAGTTCCAATGACTGTAAGCCCTCTGGCCCAAGGAGGCGAAATGCCATTGTCTGACGAAAACTTTCAGCTGCCTGCATGTTTGAACATCTGTCAGGGAGCATAATTAGTGCTAGAAACGAAAATAAGAACAAGTTTCTATATCCCAGGGAACTATTTGAAGAATAGTCTGTCCCTCTTCTTCCCATAACTTGGCAAATGCAGTTGTGAGGTTTACTTAGAGTAGCTGGTGAACGAAAGGTTCATAAAGGTTGCATTGACCCAAAAAGTCACTGTCATTAAATGTTGATTTTGTATCCATGGAGATTAATAGGAAAATGCATCTAGGTAAAGGGTCAGGTTGGCTATGGATATAGAATGGAATTAAAATTGTTTGGGAACAGGGGTGGAAGTGGAGGGTTCCCTCACACAGGTTTTCTGTCTTCAAAAAATGAGTATATTCAATAATCTTTCTGTTTTGGTCCCCCCAGAATTCTTCATTCTTGGATAGCCCAGAAGCGGACCTGCCACTTTGTTTTGAGCAAACTGTTCTGGTGTGGATTCCCTTGGGTTTCCTTTGGCTCCTGGCTCCTTGGCAGCTTCTTCGTGTGTATAGATCTAAGATCAAGAGATCTCCTATAACCAAACTCTACCTCGCTAAGCAGGTATGGGAACTCCACTATTTTCACTGGTACAGGGCAGAGACATCTTTTGATGGTTAAAGTGTCTGTTTCCCTATCTTTAATCAGCTTTCCTAAGACAGGCAGTCACTGGCCCCATGTCCTATTTCTTAGTTCAGGTAACTTTAATTTTTGCATAATGATGACTCTTGGGGCACCTGGGTGTTTCAGTTGGTTAAGTGTCTGCCTTCGGTTTGGCTAATGATCTCAGGGTCCTGGGATCCAGCCCTATGTCGGGCTCCCTGCTCCCTGCCCAGCAGGGAATCTGCTCCTTCCTCTCTCTGCTCTACCCGCATCCCCCCCCCCACGACTCATGCTCTCTTTTTCCCTCTCTCTCTCTCAAATGAATACATAAAATCTTAAAAAATAGGAGGGTAGTGACACTTAAATCTTATTTATAGCAGATTTTTAAAACACCAATGACAAGTAACCAATCAGTCAAATATTTATTGTCTTTTTAATATTTGAGAAACAAATATTGGATGACCTGTCTTGAGACTCTATGAATAACTCAGGAGACTGTAATTCAGTTGGCACCTACAATGAGGTAAAAATAAAATGCACCATTTTCTCTGTACCATTCAGGCAACCCAACCATCATTCATCTCCCATAACTTGGGTCTGAAATAAGGCTTCCATTTTCCCAAAGTCTTCCATGAGTCCCGGACACTCACAATAGAGTGAGGTAGGTTGAGTGCTCACAGTGACATGCCTGAGTAGGGAAATATGGGAAGGACAGGAGCTGCAGGAGAGGGCCCAAGAGGAGCTAGGGGAGGAGCCGGTCAGCCACCTGTACTGATTAATGCAGAAAGGGTCTTGTGGGAACCAAGACATTCAGTTGAGTTTGAAAATCCACCTCCTAAACTCCACCATCTGCTTTTTTCATTACTTTTTTTGTTGTGGTGGTGGTGGTTTGTTTTTCCATATCTCTCCTGATCTTTAAACTGGGTTTAATTAAAAAGATTAATTAGTTCTGTGAGTGCACATACCAACGACCTCAGGTTACCTGGAATCTAAACAGAAGGAAGGAACTTGGCTAAATGAAGTGGGATTTTCTCTGACACTCCAAGGCAGGGGCTGGTGGTGAGCTTTTTGGGACCCTGGACAGGAAAGAATAGTCCCTGAGAGTAGGGGCAGGGTCATTGTCTCTTTTATTGATCCAAGTGCCAAGCACAGGGCTTAACACTCAGTATGAATTTGTTGAATGTTAATATTAAACATACTCTAGAAGTAGAAGTGGAGTCAAGAATGCGTTAGATTCTGAACATTGAACAACATGCTTTAATACCCCTGGGAATGAGTTAGAGACTTCCAAGAAAAGGCTGGGTAATGAATAAATCAGTATCACAGTCTAATCATAGTTCTTAATTAACTATAAGAACTTCTAACTTAAAAAAAGAAAAACAGCTTTAGGACACCTGGGTGACTCAGTGGGTTAAGCTTCTGCCTTTGGCTCAGGTCATAATCTCAGGGTCCTGGGATCGAGGCCCACATCGGGCTCTCTGCTTGGCGGGGAGCCTGCTAACCCCTCCCCCCTGCCTGCCTCTTTGCCTACTTATGATCTCTCTCTCTGTGTCAAATAAATAAATAAAATCTTTAAAAAAAAAACAGCTTTATTGAGATATAATTCACATACCATACAATTCACCCATTTATTTTTTAAATTAAGTTAAGTTAAATTTAAATTCAATTAATTAACATATAGTGTATTATTAGTTTCAGAGGCATAGTTCAGGGATTCATAGTTGTATATAACACTTGGTACGCATTACATCACATGCTCTCCTGAATGCCCATCACCCAGTTACCCCATCTCCCCACCTCCCTCCCCTCCAGCATCCCTCAATTTGTTTCTTATGGTTTTTCTCCCTCTCTGATTTTGTCTTATTTTATTTTCCCCCTTCCCCTATGATTCTCTGTTTTGTTTCTTAAGTTCCACATAATGAGTGAAATCATATGATAATTGGCTTTCTCTGATTGACTTATTTCATTTAGCATAATATCCCCTAGTTCCATCCACATTATTGCAAATGGTAGGATTTCATTTTTTGATGGCTGAGAAATATTCCTGTGTGTGTGTGTGTGTGTGTGTGTGTGTGTGTGATCTTCTTTATCCATTCATTTATTGATGGACATCTGAGCTCTTTCCATAGTTTGGCTATTGTGGACATTGCTGCTATAAACATTGGGGTGAAGGTGCCCCGATCACAGCATTTGTATCTTTTTGGTAAATACCTAGTAGTACAATAGGTAGTTCTATTTTTGACTTTTTGAGGAACCTCTACACTGTTTTCCAGAGTGGCTGTACCAGCTTGCATTATGCCAGCAGTGTAAGAGGATTCCCCTTTCTCCACATCCTCAAAAACATCTGTTGTCTCCTGACTTGTTAATTTTAGCCATTCTGACTGGTATGATGTGGTATCTCATTGTAGTTTTGATTTGCATTTCCCTGATACTGAGTGATGTTGAGCATTTTTTTCATTTGTCTGCTGGCCATTTGTATGTCTTCTTTGGAGAAATGTCTGTTCATGTCTTCTGCCAATTTCTTGACTGGATTATTTGTTCTTTGGGTGTTGGGTTTGTTGTTATTTATAGATTTTGGATACTAGCTCTTTATCTGATAAGACATTTGCAAATATCTTCTCCCATTCAGTAGGTTGTCCTTTGGTTTTGTTGAAATTGTTTCCTTTGCTGTGCAAAAGCTTTTCATCTTGATGAAGTCCCAATAGTTCATTTTTGCTTTAGTTTCCCTTGCTTTTGGAGACTCAATTCACTAATTTAAATATAATTTTTAGCATACTGATATATATAACCATCACCATAATCAACTTTAGAACAGAAACAAACCTCCTATCTCCCCATCCTCCTTAGTCCTAAGCAACCACTAACCTACTTGCTATCTCTAGTTTCCTTATTTCAGAGATTTCATAAATGGAATCTTATAATACTATATGGCCTTTTATGGTTGGCTTCTTTCACTTAGCATAAGATTTTCAAGGTTCATCCATATCATAGTATATATATATCAGTACTTCTTTCCCATTTTATGCCTAACTTATATTCTATAGACAAAAAGAAAATAAATGTATTGACTTTTTTTTTTCATAGCTAATAATCCACTCATCCTTGCTCATAGTCTCAGGATCAGGAGCCCCATTCCTAATTTATACTTTATTTTTTGCCCTCTACCCTGAGAGTAACAAGCACAAATTAGCTGCCTCTTAAAATTTTCAAAATAATTGGTCTCTTCTTTAAAAGTAGAAGTATAACTCCTCACATAGTAAAACTTTACTTCTGTGAGAACCTTCTTTTGGGCTCATTCCTCAACTTGATTTTATTTCTCCATTTCCTGCTTTTGGGCTATTTCTCTCTGACTTTCCTGAACTGTCTATACTTGTCTGAACTAAGGCCATTTGCTTGACCAAAGTGAGAGATTCTACAAGTTTGTTTGTTTAAGGATGCATCTTTACAGAAAGGACCTGATGCACAGTAGGTAACTGAATTGAATCACAAAATACATGAATGAATGAATGAATGAATGAGCTCAATCCCAGGGAAACAAAAAAGGAATTTGGTTCTGGAGGTTGGGGAAGTGCTGAGGTTAGATGAAGGAAGATGTGTGGCAAAAATAGACTTGGTGTTGAGCCAGTGAAATGTGGAAATCATCTTTAAGTGATTGCAGAATATAACATAGAAGATTGCGAGCCTGTTCTGTTCGGCAGAGTTTCAGAAAGCAGGATCAAGATTAAGTGGGTGGAGGTTATTCCAGGGAAGCCTACTTTGGCTAAATATATTGAAGGACTTTCTAATAATACTGACTTTCTGAAAATAGAATAGACTGCTGGGGGTCATATTCCCTTAAAATATTGATGCTGAAGTTAAATACTTATCTGCCAGCGAAGTGATAGAAATAGACACTCTACAATGGATAGAAGATTCAACCAGAGTGACTATCATTCATAAAGCTCTGAGAAAAGGAGGACCTTGCAGAGATGGAGAGATATTAAATATGGCCAAAGCACTCTTCTCTCTTTTTTAATACCAATGAGATTATGTTTCCTTAAAAAGTTTAGTAAATTCCATGTGCGCTTGAAACTCCTCCAATAAATCAGAGATCAAAGACAAGAATTATTTCAGGGCAACCATAATATTTCCCTGATCCTATTTAATGAAAGTGTGTGCATGTTTCTGATTATAAAAGTAATGCATGGTTGAGCGCCTGGGTGGCTCAGTTGGTTAAGTGTCTGTCTTGGCTCAGATCATGGTTCCATCGTCCTGGGATCAGGCCCCATAATCAGGCTCCCTGCTCCACGGGGAGTTTGCTTCTCCTTCTGCCTCTGCCTCCTGCTCCCCCACTTGTGCTCTCTCTCTCTCTGTCAAATAAATACAGTCTTTAAAAAAAATTAATGCAAGATTATTGTAGAACATTTGGAAACTCTAGGGAAATAGGAAGCAAATTAAATCCATTGACCATTGTTATCACCCTGATACACTCCTATTAACATTTTGGTATGTTTCCTGCCACTCTCTTGAAAAAGAAAAAAAAAGAGCCAAGAAACACAAAATGAAAAGTTAAAGTCTATTTCTTACCCTTCTACCTCCTAGTACCATTCTCCAGAGATCTTCATTTAAAATTATTTTAATGGTTACCTCTATATCTGTAAATAATGTGTTTATACCTATATTTCTTGATCAATCACCTTTAAAAAAAGATCTATTTCTACCTTCCATGCAAGACAAGGAATTCAGTTCATTGGCCCTACCCTCACCTTCCTTTTCTTCTTCTCTTTCTCTCGGTCTTTTAACTTTGTATAATTGCTTTCAGTTCTTCTGTTGGTTACCCTTATTCCTAAAGATAATCTGCCATCAATTTTAGACTCAACATCTTGATAGCCCTTTGTGTAAAATGAGAGAATTTGTACCCCACAGTTCTTGGATCTGAAGAAGATCCTCAAATAAAATTTTCAGAGAGAGCAACAGAAAAT